TTAGCCAATAGCTTTGGGTATCAAAGAGCTAACTGCCCAGTATTTGGACAGGATCATTAAGTAGTCACGTATGACTTTGCACTCTCCTGTTGAAGGGCTACTTTTATCTTCTCTATTTCTCTCCTTGGCTTCTCAAGCGCTTCCCCACCTGGGTTCCATTCTATTTCTAATTATTATTAGAAACCTCCTTATTGGTGTGGCTTTTCTTGCTTTTGAGAGCAATTTTTTTGGAGTTATCAATCCTATTAGTTTTCTTGAAGGCATGGAAGTACCCTACAGTCTCTGCCAGCTAACAAAGCAGCCAGCCCTGACACTATGGAAAAAAGAAAAACTATGTTATGGTGTGCATTTTTTAAACAAAATTCCCATTTTTAAAAGGCATTTTTCTTTTTGCTCAGCTCTAAACCAGAAGAGATGGGAGTGTATTAAGATCCGTATGTTGTACAGCAGCTACTGCCCGGAGGTCACAGCACATGTGTTGGTGATCCCAGTACCAGGTACCAACTGCCAGATCTCAGTAAACACAACTTTTACAAAATGGGCCAGAAAGGAGGAACAACGATGTATACATTTTATAAACACTGAAGGCAGATAGAGACTAAACAAGGAAAGAAAAGCTAATGATAATTTTTTTCTTAAACGATAAATTAAATATGCTCTAAAGACTGAAGTTTATCCAGAAAATTGCTCTGCTGTTCATTAAAAAACCTGTCAACACTGGTCTACATCCTGGCATTTATATACCATCATAAACCTTAAGGACATACCAAATTCACTACAGACCAGGAATATTTGTCCCAAATTAATGTTCAGTATCAATCTTAAACCTTTGTATTAATTAGGAAAGAAGTAGACTATACAACCTGATGAATTTTTTTTAATAGTACGAATCTGACTGAAAATAGAGAGTTCTTACTTGGTCTCACTGAAAAGTTCTCCATCAGTACCAAAGGCAATATCAAGAGGAGGAATGAGTGTCTGCATTGAAAAAGCCACACGGCACAACTCTCGAATCAAAGTGCTGATCACAATGAAATCAATTTCTGGTGGAAATGAAATCTTTGGGTTGATGTTCATGGAGCGAATTACTTCCTGAAAATAAACACAATTGAGTAATTTGAGCTCACTAACACTTTTATTCACGGGCAAGTATGGAAATCCCTCCTAAATATGCCTCTCAGCTTTCTACATTTAAGAATCAGTATAAGAAGCTCCCAGCAATATTGTCTTAGGCTATTCCAGAAAATATTAGCTTCAGAAAGACTGTGCTGTTATTTTAGAAATAAAATATGAGCTACATCATTGACATCAATCTTAGGAGGGAGATGCAGTTTTTCAGTAGAGCACAGAACTTAAGAAAAATATGAAATTTAGCTTACGTTTATTTGATTAAGGCAGTTATACTGTATCTTGCCAAAATATTATTCTGGCAGACAGAGATATTCTAGTCACAGGCAAATAAAACAAGTGATTACTGGGCCATACCACAATATTATTTTGGAAAATAAACTGCTACAAGACATAAAATCCATGCAATAAACTTTTTTCCTTCTTCAGGTTACAGTGCATTTCTCGTTTACACACTCTGAATTTATTAGCTACTAAATAGATCAACACGTCACTTCCCCACCACCCTTGACTTACATTAACACTGGCTTGAACATCATACAGATCCTCATGGCGAACTATATAATCCAGGACAGTGTCTTCAAGTGACTCAGGCCCCGAGTGACCTAGAGACAGAGTCTCTCTTACACGTATTTTAAACTGCCTGTAGGCCATCTTTGCTGCATGAAAAGACTCCTGCAAACATAAAGAACGTCTAGTTAAATCCAGGAGACTGAGATTAATTTTTTATCAATTATCTGAGAGGATGAACTTAACCTAGTATCATCATTGTAAGGAGGAATATAAAACGCTGCTGTAAAAGTGAAAGTTAAGAAGAGTACTCATCTGGGAGGACTTCTCTGATTAGAATCATAGAATCATAGAATAGTTTGGGTTGGAAAGGACATCTAAAGGTCATCCAGTCCAACCCCCCTGCCATGGGCAGGGACATCTTCAACTAGATCAGGTTGCTCAGAGCCCCGTCCAGCCTGACCTTGAATGTTTCCATTCCCATGCTCCAGGGATGCGGCATCCACCACCTCTCTGGGCAACCTGTGCCAGTGTTTCACCACCCTCAGTGTAAAAAATTTCTTCCTTGTACCTAGCCTAAATCTACCCCCCTTTAGTTTAAAGCCATTCCCCCTTGTCCTGTCACAACAGGCCCTGCTCAACAGTTTGCCGCCATCTTTCTTATAAGCCCCCTTGAAGTACTGATAGGCTGCAA